CCATGAGTTCAAAACTTCCTAAAATTGCAGTGATATATAGGTTTCAATAGATAAAATAGCCTACAGAAAAGTAAGCTTATTACTGAAGAAACCTCTAATTCTTTGAGCCTGTTAATCATAGTGTTGATTATACAGAACTTTGTATAGTTATTTAATATACATAAGGTTTATAATCATTTGCCTAAGGACAGAGATTTAAAATGGAAGTGGCAAGTTATAAATATACTTTCAAAGTCCATATATTGAGTATACTTTTAAGTGCTCAAATTAATTAAAAAAGAAACAATATCATGAATCTATATGCAGGGAAGGAATGGAGATGCAGATGAAGAGAATGAACTTGTAGACACAGCAGGCAGCCTTTCCCTTCTCCAGGGGATCTTCCCAATTCAGGGATTGAACCCAGGTCTCCAGCATTGCAGGTGGATTCTTTACCAGCTGAGCCACAAGGGAAGCCCAGGTAAAGGAGAGGGCAGGACAGAGAAAGTGGCACTGACATATATATTCTATTGTACGTAAAACAGGTAACTAGTGGGAAGCTGCTATGTAACATGTGGAGCCCAGCCTAGTGTCTTGTGATGCCCTGGAGGGGTGGGAAAGGAGGGAGAGACAGGTAGGAAGGACCAGGGAGGACAGCTCAATGGGGGGGGGAATGTGGGTGTGTGTGTGTGTGTGTGTGTGTGTGTGTGCACGCGCGCGCCTGTGTGTGCCTGAATTATGACTCATTCTCACTGCTTTACTGCAGAAACCAGCATATTTATCCTCCAATTAAAAAAAAAAAAAGACCAAAATCAGACTTCCCTGGTGGCTCAGATGGTAAAGCGTCTGCCTACAGTGTGGGAGACCGGATTTGATCCCTGGGTTGGGAAGATCCCCTGGAGAAGGAAATGGTAAGCCACTCCAGTACTCTTGCCTGGAGAATCCCATGGACAGAGGAGCCTGGTAGGCTACAGTTCAAGGGGCCGCAAAGAGCAGGACATGACTGAGCGACTTCTCTTTCACTTTCAAAACCCCAATACTGGTGAGCATTTCATGGCTCCAACATTGTTGATCTAAAACTGTTAGCATTTTAATCTTAAAGCAAATAGCAAAACCTGGCACTCTAGAAACAGATTTGTGACTTAATCTGCTAGATATTTTGTCTTCATTTTCTTAACAAAGACTGAACTTATATGTGAAAAAACAGGATAATAGGCAGCAGCAGATCATTCTTTGTCTATTAGTTGTTTAAGAATATTTACTAAATGTTTCTGGGAGATAAATTTTAAGATTTTGAATGATTAGGATCTGTGAAGTACCTGACTGCCTGAATTCTTTCAGAAAACCACTGTAGACTAAAATATTGGTTCAGGAAATTTAAATTAAAGGAATATTTTCTATTTCATTGATTCAGGAAATATACTGGGGTCATTTTTTTCTCTTCCATTTAATAATTTAGTTATATAAGTGGGTACTTTCAGAAATATGAACATCAAGAAATCTACATCATTGATCAGTATGTTTTAAATGTGTAAGTTCAGAGAATAAAGTAGAGGAGATTTGAAAAATCAACACAGAGTCCATGCCATGGAGTGTTGTTAACATGTCAAACCATGAAAAGTCTGAAAAACTTATGATAGGAAAAATGACCAAATTTAGAAAAAACAGTAGACAGTTAAACTGTGAACAGTAGCTTCATATTTTGGAGTGGTAAAAAATACAGTCTAAAAATTCTATAGTCAATCAATTGTCATTCACATTTTAAATCAACTGGAAGACAATTTTGGGTCATAAAGACTGTCTATATACTTCTGATACAGAATGTAGAAAAAAAGACATATCAGGAAGAGATTAAATCAATTCCTGTGTCTATCTGGAATTCATTATAAAAATGGAGAAACTAAATTACATAAACACAAAAACACATTTCATCCATCTATTTATGCACACACACTCACACACACATATACACATATAATATTCCTTAGGAAAGAATTAACTTCATACTGTGGCAAATTAGCCAAATTCAATCTCTTCAATGAATAACTTTTTAAAAATTAACATTCATGAACACAATTTTAAAAATTAAAAAAAAATCCAAAACTCTAGTGATAGAGAATTGGTATTATTATAATATTTCACATCAGGCATAAAAATCAGAGTACTGTTTCAATGAATCTACTGCTCTGAAATATTTTGATCATCTATTCCAGCTTGAGGCTCAGTTCCCTAAGGATATCACATATGAATGAAACATAATTGTAGACAAAACAAAATATAGAGGCATCCCAGGTGGCGCTGGTAGTAAAGAATTTGCTTGCCAATTCAGAAGATGTACGAGATGCAGGTTCAATCCCTGGATTGGAAAGATTCCTTGGAGACAGAAATGCCAACCCACTCTAGTATTCTTGCCTGGAAAGTCTCATGAACAGAGGAGGCTGGTGGGCTGCAGTCCATGGGGTCATAAAGAATCAGACAGGACTGAGCACCTGCACACATAATAAAGTCAGAAAACATACTGGTCTCAACAAAGTAAGTCTGTAGATACTAACTTGGACTGATAGCCATCTAGTCAGTTCATTTGTAGACTAAAAAAAAAATAATGAATCTTTATCATTTTAGCCTGGTAGCATAGAACATAGGTATAGCTTTATGGACAGGAGAAAGTAAATGATTTATCCTATGTCAGAAGTGAAAGTGTTAGTCACTCAGTCATGTCAGACTCTTTGTGACCCCATAGACTATAGCCCACTAGGCTCCTCTTTCCATGGAATTCTCCAGCTAAGAATATTGGAGTGGGTAGCCATTCCCTTCTCCAGGGGATCTTCCCAACCCAGGGACTGAAGCCAGCTCTCCTGCATTGCAGGCAGATTCTTTACCATCTGAGCCACCAGGGAAGCCCTTCACATGTTAAAATCACTCTTCAAAATATTTCATGTTTCAAATAGAGGATCTATTTTGACAGTTAAGATATTAGGTTGGCCAGAAAGTTCATTTGTTTTCCCATAACATTTAATGGAACNGCAGCAGCCTCAGCAGCAGCAGCAGCAGCAGCAGCAGGGAATCCCAAGTCATATGCATATAGCTTTTAATGAGTTCCCACTTAAACCAATGAAACAAACTGCAAAACACGCAGTTCCAAAAAAAGATGAGGACTTTAATGGCAGTCTCTGAGTTGTAAAATCACAAATGTAATTTTAGGTTCATTTCAGTTTTCTTTCTTGAATGAGTTTGCATTACATCTATTTTTAATTTAGGTGCATGAATTTAAAAATACCCACATAAGCTACCAAATACAAAGAGAATCACTTCATCACAGAGTGCTTCATTGAAACTGTACTTAAAAAAATCATCCTGACTTGTAGCATTTGGTGATTTTCATGTTGTAAAGATAGAGAAGGTTATGAAATTTTATTTTTAAATTATTCAAGTATTTTTGTTAAACTATATTAGGCAAAGTTACTAAGTTGCAAATTTTATTCTAAAAGACAAACAGCACATTCATTTCTTTCTGAAGTATGCTATCTGAAAGTAAACATATAATGCCCATACTTACAAATGGGCCTCAATCTTTGTATCTTACCTAGACTGTAATACCAAGAGAGTAGTATTAGGCATGATAGGATTATAGTCATTGAAAATTCATATAGATCCAGCGTTTGTTCACAATGGTTATGTTTTGATTCATATAGTCTTCTCTTTCATTTAGCTAGCCCTCCCAATTTTTCCTGTTGTATGAATATAATTAGAATATCTTTAATAATATGCTTTCAGCTATATATTTGGCAATATCCTGGTAAACTAGTTTTCTGAAAATCAACAAGCAACTAAATGAACAAAAAGGTCTGATTTATAGCATTTTTGTCTATTTTCATGTTTAAATAATCTCACCATGGCCTATTTAAGCTATCAAAATGATGACACTCAAAGTGAAGCTAGGAAGAGATGTGCAAAGCTTCTCACAGTGAGTTAGTCAAGCTGGTTTCAGCAGAACACTGTGATAAATAAATACTGACTCAAGTCTGTCAAAATATCCAGGGGCTTTTTGGTAGGTTCCAATATATTTAAGACCATGGCAGTGAATAATTTTAACATGATTAAGCTTTAAACAATAGCAGGCAACATTAAACTATGAAGTGACAGCAAAACACTTCCTAAATAAGCATCTAATTTAGGATAAAAACAAAAACATGATTTACAATAAAACTTGCTTTTTGATAAAAATATTCATGACAAATAATATCACTGAAATCTTATAAGCTCTCTCTATGTTGGCTTTTTGAAAATGTAAATGACCACATCATCTTGAGAAGCAAGGTAACATTTTACTGAAATTGAATGGCCCACTATATTCTTGTAAAGTTCATTATTTTAATACTTTTGATGTAATAAGTTGAATAGAATAGTACCTATCATAGGATTTGACAATTATTTTTTCTCTAAAGGATCAGAGAGAATATATTTAGGCTTTGCAAATCATATAGCTTGTTGTGAATGCAGTACTGTTTGTGCAGTGGGAAATACTCATGTTCAATATGTAAATTAACAATCCTGGCCATGTTCCAATAAAACAATTCTTACAGAAACAAGCAGCAGATGGATTTGGCCTGTGGGTCATCCACAGTTTGTTGACCTGACTTTAGCAGCTATCAAATCATCTGATGTTTTTATGGCACTGATTTCAATATGATTTTTCTTGGTGTTTATGAATCACTAGTCCCTTTAATCGAAGTACTTTTTAAAAGTATAATATTGCCTCAGTCAGTAAAAAAATCTTGACTAATTACTGTTTCTTAAACAAGATGCTCCCTCAGCAATGCAAATGCCAAAAGGACAATGCAATTGAAAATAAAATGAATACAATGGCGGACATATCTTCCTTTACTATACCACAACGTCACTTTTAACCACAAGGAGAGGTTTTCCTAGATAGTAAAAGAAGAGAAAATTTTCAGATCAAATTAAGATATGTTTAATATGAGCACATTCATTTTAATTTACTCTGAAATTCTTATTCTTACCTTCCACAAGTTTCCCTGTCTGTTCGGCACTTCCCCCAGGAAGAATCTTGGCAATATAGGCTCCAATTTCTCCGCTATGTCCAGGGATTTCTTTACCACCCACAATTCTAATTCCTAATCCATTACCTGTATTAAAAAGTTAGCAAATTATTAGCAATAAGTTAAGAAAGGACAACAGTTATCACAAGTGATAAGGTGCAAGAGAAATGGGTTCTGATATGTAGAAGTTAACCCCAAATGAATACTGGAACTGGACACTGATAACAAAAGAACAATATTACAATTTCATAGTAGTTGATAGGGAAGAGAAGTATCTGAGATCTTGGTAGGATCTATAATGATTAATCTGACATTAACAAATCATTTTTATTTTTTATTTCAGCCATATTCAATAATATAATAAAGTTTTGTCCATATATGTTTTGATCATATATGTTGCAAGAATTTTATATGAAGATGTTCCCAGTATAAATAATTTCAGAGTGAAAAATTCATTTATGAAATTGACGAGCATTTAACTTACAAAAAGGAAGTAATGGCTATCATAAATTGAGAAGACATAAATGACTGCAACTGATAAAGTGAAAACATGATCATAACTTATGAATTATTATTCACATTTCAGCCTTAATTCATAAACTAATATTGTTTGTGCATTAATACGGCACTTAATACAGGGGTAATAAAAGCATTCTTTACTGATGAGCAACTTGGTAAACTGTTCCTTATTCCACAGAACAGATTTTATAATTAGCCATGCAGATGAAAGATGGAGAATGATTATTATGAGAAATCTACATACTATACTTGATCTTAGCCAAAAGGCTGAGAAGCGATGATTATTATGAGAGATCTAATTGAATCACATAAACTGTTGACATTTTATCTTTTTAAAAGAGTAAGCTAAAAAACAGCTAGTGTATACAGCTCCATATATATTTTTGCTACAAATGTCAAGAAGATTTTAAAATGAAAGCACTAAATGAAAGCAGAATTATCATCTACTGAAGACACAATTAATTAAACATCTCATTCAGTGACTGAAGTACCATTTCCAACTCTTTCAAAATCTCTAAAATTAAAAGCCGGGTCTCTTCCAAATCCTGTTCCTTTCCTACTTAACTCCTCAAAAAGAGTCCCTCTAGTTAGCATCAACACAATTCAAACATTCCACAAGCAGTAGCTGAATTATGGACTGCTTCTTCATTTATCTAGTAGGGGTGTATTTTGGTAAAATACTGGCTATTTTCAGGTGACATGATACTTCCAAATGAATTTACTCTTTCCTTTTCTTCCTTCCTCCTTCCTCCCTTTCATCCTTCCTTCCTTGTCTCCCCCCTCTATTCTCCCTCTTTTCCCCAGTACCCCCACTCCCTACTCTCATCCTGAGACCTGCTTTTACACCAGAGCAAGTGTTCTGAAGATTTAGCCTCAAAACAAAAACAAAGCAAATTAACTGCATGTTTTTACAAAGGGTTGCCAAGGGTCAGAGTTAAATAAGATACTAGCTCTCTGTGGCCCCACTTGTGGAGCTTTTCTGTCACAAGTTTCTTAGCTCAGTGTTCCTGTTCTTAGAGATTAATTGATGATCCAAACTGAACATAACTGGATCAGTGAAGGCTAGGATTTACTTTATGACATAGAGCATGTATTATATATGACTTTCAGTCTCAACTAAAGTTGATTTCTTAGACATTAGCATTTAAAGGACTGATTCTAAAATAAGACATTAGATAGATACTAATAAAGAGTAAAAGATGAAGAAAAGTTATCAGCCACTATTTATTCAGTTATTTTATATATATGTGTGTATGTATATAGTGTTAAGCCATTTTAGAAATTACAAAATGAGAATTTAAAAATAGCTGGTCATATTTAAAGGATTTTCCCATGGAATTTGTCCAGAAAAAATAAAAATAGATTCTTAAGATTTGGCTTTATTTTTCATGGTTGAATCACTCATAAGCTGCAATTCATCACTTATTAAATATTTCATAAAACAGATACATATACTGAATTTCTAATGTGGTCAATATATCCATGTCAATTTTAAGACATGGTCAACCTGGGATCCCAAAAGATGATTGATGAGATTTCTTTAGGGTAAAGGCATATTTTTCAAGACCAAGTTTTGTATCAACATTTATGCTAGATAATAGCAGAACATAGTAGGGTATATAGTAAAGTGCTCATGGCACTGCTCTTATTTCTTTTTAAGCTTAAAAACTGTTGTATGGCAGAAACTGACACAACACTGTAAAACTTTTAAAAATATATTTAAATTAAAAAATGGAAAAAAATTACCATATAAATACAGTTCATAAGAATAATTCTGTACTATACAAAATATGGTGTAGCCATATACTTAGAAACTACAAATAAAATTGCTATACCTTGTAAAGGTGTAGCTTAAAAAGTAGAATTTCTGAATCTATTAATTAACATGTGACTACTTAAAAAAACTAATTGCGTTTTCATTTTGCAAAATGACTTTGTCTTGAAGATAAGTAGTTGGGTTCTTAGTGCCATTTGATTTTTAGTGACTGAGTACATTCTCAAATCTTGTAGTAAAGGATCTGTAACAGGAATTTATGACTATATCCACAATAATTATTTAATTTTGTAAAATACAGTTTCATGCTAATGAATTCAACACTTTCTTAATATACTTTACAAATCAGTGTCTTTGGTAAAATGGGAGTAATACATAGCCATGAAAATACTGTGAAAAATGAGATTTGATAGACAGTTGACTCTTCCACAACCTGGGGGTTGAGGTGCTGACCCTCTGTGCAGGTGAAAATCCTCATATAACTTATACTCAGCCCTTTGTATACAAGATTTCTCTATGTACCCAGTCCCATATCCCTGGATTCAACCAACTGTGGATTGTGTAGCATTATATATCTACTTTTGAAAAAAATCTCCATTTAAATGAAACCATGCAGTTCAAACACATATTGTTCAAGGGTCAATGTATATAGAAACCACTTCTAATACATAGCAAATTTTCGAAAGCTATTTTTCTTCTTGCTGATCCTGCTGTGTTAATTGCTACTGATTTTCATGTATACAATAAAGTAACATAGAAATATTTAAAGTTTGTGAAAGAAAAGCAAGTTAGAAAATAAAAAGACCTAGGAAGGAAACATTTTTTATTTTACAGTAGTTGCTTATATCCTAATTTGGATGCCATAAGTATGAATTTAATTTATATACTTTCTAAGAATTTAAATCTAGACACTTTAATTTACCATTTCTATAGTTGTACTTTGATATTTTATGTATTGATTATAGACAGAACAAACAAAAACACTTCTATATAAATAAAACACATCAGCTCAAATCTAAAAAGCAGAATGTCAATAAAAAATTTGATAAACCTAAGAGGCAAAATTAGTTTTTAACTGAAATGCTTAAATCTAAGTGGTCCTTGATAAGTGATACTATTGGTTTTAACTTTTACAAATTTTTAACAACAAAAACTTATTTCCCTCCCTGTTTCTATTCCATCTAGAAACATTGCTAAAATGTTTCCTCTGAAATCATGAAAGTACACTGGTTTTGCTCTTCAGCTCACAGTATGGCAGAGAAGAGAGGCCAACAATTACTGTAAAGAACATAGGAGCTTTAGTAAAAGAGATAATCAAAAGTTACAGTAATTTTATAACATATAAGCATAAATGTGGTTAAGGAAGTCTTAAAGGGAAATCTATAAGCAACTACAACACAAAGCATTCATAAACCACCATGATGTACACCTTAAATATCTTATAATTTTGTAAGGCCATTATACCTCAATGAATTGAAATGAAAAAATAAAAAAGTAAGCTGTACATAAAATAAACATAAGCATACTATGGAAACATCCTCACATTTGAATTTAAATTTGCAGTTAAAATCTACTTTACTCTTATATGTTTATCAATATGTTACATTACATGCTCTGATATTTAACGTATTACAAAAATGTTTTTATTTCCATTATTAAATAACATGAAAATATCATGATGTTATAATTAGAGCACTAAATGTGGGCAAAATTACAATACTTGTTTCTTTCTTTTTAAAATTTTTTAATATAAATTTATTTATTTTAATTGGAGGCTAATTACTTTACAATATTGTAGTGGTTTTGCCATACATTGACATGGATCCACCACGGGTGTACATTTGTTCCCCATCCTGAACCCTCCTCCCACCTCCCTCCCCAAGCCAGTGCACCAGCCCCAAGCACCCTGTCTCATGCATTGAACCCAATACTTGTTTCATTTCAACACTCTCATGTGCTACATCTAAGCCTCAAGGAAAAGGAAACTTTTCATCAATGAACATACTATCTTATGAACAGCAGTCTTTAAATCAATAATTTATTATTCATAATAAAGTTATTATAGAACAGAGATATACTGCTTAGTTTAGTCATATAATTAGTTGGGCTGAAGAAGAAGAAAGGTTGTCTATATAAATATATTGTCTACATTAATATGAATATATTCATTGGAAGGACTGATGCTGAAACTGAAGCTCCTATACTTTCGGCACCTGGTGTGAAGATCTGACTCATTGGAAAATACCCTGATGCCAGGAAAAATTGAGGGCAAAAAGAGAAGTGGGTGACAGAGGATGAGATGGCTGGATGGCATCACTGACTCCATGGACATGAGTTTGATGAAACTCAGAAAGATAATAACGGACAGAGAAAGCTGGTGTGCTGCAGTTCACAGGGTTACAAAGAGTTGGACATGACTTAGCGATTGAACAACAAAGACAATAAATATCAATGCTAATGATGTACTAAGGATAATGAAAAATACACAAAGGATAGTTCAATTAAATGTATTTTTGTAGTTCATCTTAATTATACTCTTACATAAGACTGTAAAAGTTTATTTTTATCTCTTGTACCTATTGTTATAAATTATCCAAGAAAATATTTAGAAAAATCAAACTACATTAAAAATCCATAGTGATTTCCTTTGCATCTTATCAAATGCTATATAAATTCATTAATATTTGAAAACAAAGACTTAAAGAATATTTCACTATTTGTTCTCTAACTTTGCTTACTTTTGTTCATTATAAGAAAACATTTCTACAAACATGACAAAGTTCATCAATTGCAT